GAAGCATATTCAGGAGAAGGAAAAATGCTGTCCCAATTCTTATTCTCCCTGTCAGACACATCAGGCATTGGTATGACAGGATACTCCTCAGGTGTTGTTTAAAATTAGACAATTCTCTATGGATCATAATAGTCAAGTCATTGGCCGATAATTGTGGGATCGACCCTGAAGACATGGTCGGTAATTCTGCTGGTGGCAGGAACAGCAGTGGTAATAGTAACTACTTGAAACTGTGATAGCATAATTACATAGTATAAACTCAAACAAAACGTACCTAGAAAAAAAATTCAAATATTCTGAAATTTGAGAGTGAAAACAAACACAACTTAACAGTAAGACTGCCAATTGGAAGTAATTAACAAATGCATTATTAGAGAGGGCACTAGTTACGATAGGGTAGTGTCACATTCCTATTAGTGGAGGGTTGCTGCATGATCATTTGCATGCAAAAAGAAGTGAGTTACATGGCTAGTGGCGAGCAAAGATTTGTGCTAATAGAGGGCAGTACTAATTGAGAAAGCTTTTTGTGAGAAGATATAAAATTTTGTATCGGAAAAGGTCTATACCTCCTCTGCAGATAAAGTCGAACCTGATTCCTGAGAAATCGTACCAGTAGCATTTTTGACTGTAACGGGGATTTCCGTAGTAGATACATTGATTGCAAATTCATATTAAGATCTCTTGTAATTTGGTAACAAGAAATAAATACAGAAGAAAGTGTTGAAACAAGGGAATGCAAACACAGTAAAATAAAACTGTCCAGAAAAAATTTAAATGGCAAAGAAGAATGTTCATAAACAGTAGCCACATGCAAAAAAACACGTCTAAACAATGCTGTCCCAATTGAGAAAGTGAGAATTGAGCTGGAATAGCAGAGGGAGCTAGCTGTGCCAATATATGTGGCACAATACTATTGGTGGAAAGTAGTCACAATATGTACATGTTCAGAAATGGTGTAAAATTGATGTGATATGTAGACAAGTGCACTGGTTGTGAAATCTTTTTAGCAATGCTTAGTGGGCAGATGAAAATCAAGATAGCTCTGTGTGAAAGGAGGGAAGACCACTTCAGAATCTATATACATAAAAACTTTTAGGTTATTGCTTCAATTTCATATTTTTAATATTTGTGCATGAGGCAGATTTTATGTATGGTCTAAATGACATTCAGGTACTGAATAATGTAATCTGAATACATAAATAATGTAAACTTACACTTACAACTCCAGTTTTATTTCGAGTTTACTCCTTAGCTGAGAAAAATATACTATTAACACCCATATCATAAGGTGTTCCTCAAAATTGAGCTCCCTATAGTTTCCTGACATGTTATTAAACATGTTATTAAAGACATTTATTTACCTATTGTATGTATTCTTTAGATTACTTTCTGATACCACCACAACTTTTGGTTCACTCTTTTCATATTTGATACATAACCATACATAATTTCAGTGTGAATACAATGTAACACATAATTTGAAATATTATTGTATAAAATTTAAATTCAAGAATCATTTTGTTTCTAGTACCAAAATCACTGAATAATTGCACTGGGTCTGTTAGTGCTTTAAACATATAGCATCATGTAACAAAACAATTTCAACTACAGTATATAAGAGTTCATTAGGAAATAGTAAAGTTATTAGTAAACAAAATCAATTTAACCCTATTGCCACGAGTATCCTATACTGGGCATGACACAAGGTTTTAGTGTCTTACATTCAAAATTTTATTTAACTACTTTTGGTTTATGTTATACCAATTAGAATAGCATAAAATTTTAGCTAATAATCCATATTTTAATAGTATACAAGTTTTAAGTTCTTAATTCTACAAGGCAATATATAAAAATATCATGAATTTCCACTAGCGTGACCCACATGCATATTTTCTCTTAGCATCCACCATCCCTCAACAAAATATGAAACTAAATGTAAATTACTCTTTATAACATCGTTATTGCTCAGACAAACCATAATTTTTATAGCCTTCAATTTTGTTTGGTTACAGAGCTGTCGAACAGAAAATCAGACCCCTCCTGCCACATCCTCTTTTTCAGAATTCGTTGATAGTTCTCTTTTACGTTTCATTATATATTACCTATAACTAATAGAAAGTCAAGGTTTTCATCTATCAAATGTGCTGAACAGTAAGATGTCAATTTCATTCAGAGTAACAACATCATTCCTGTGGAAAACTTAACGACTAGCTTGGATGAATTTATAATGGCTCTTGTCGCATAGTTAGAAAGCCAGAAAATATTGAGAAGTAGGTGAATCTGTCTTGTTTTTGCATGTTATTAGTCTATATTCTTCGGTACATTATTAATTTAAATGAAAATTATTAAGTGCATTACTATCTATAGTATAAAAAATTAGGGTTAACTCTCTTCAAAAACCGAGAGTAAGAAAAAAGAAGATTGGTTAAGTATTTTATTTCTTGTTTTCATGTTTATTCTTTATGTATAATTATAAAAGTAACTAAAATGTAAAAATAAGAATCATTTTAGGTTTGTTAAGATTAGATTAGCTAAAATAAATAATAATAATATTATAATAAAAATGTTTCATGAGGCAAACACGCGAGCAGCTCGTGGGTAATGTAATTCGTTAGCGTAAAGTGAGCTGCATGTTTCCCAATGATTTACAACTTATAATGGCATGAATAGTAGTTAGACACGGTTCAAAGGGCAATGACAAAATAAAATTTAATTCTAAATAGATGTATACTGTTACAAACTCAGAGCTACTTAGGATAAACAAATGTAGTTTCAAGTTACAATTTCAAGTCATTCTAGAAAGAAAAAGAAAAGGTTAATTTTGATTTTTTTGGTGGTTATGAGGTCAGCTGAATTGACCAATCCTGTTTTGAGATAGGGTAGAGAAAATAACAAATAAAGTTTTACTGAATAAAAATATTTGAAATGCATTTACGAGGTTTTAGGGATTACACAAAGGAAATTTGAGTTTTTTGAGATGAGAAAAAGTATTTTTAATTTTAACATGAAAATTACTTTTCACACAGACTATTCAAAACAAAAACTCAATATATTCATGGACAAATCTTTATTTTATCTTATTAAACATATTTCACTAAATAATATGATTTTTTTGTATGTGAAAAACTTATAATATTAAGTGAATGACTGCCAAATTTTGTGAAGATATACACACTATAGTAAAAGTTAAAGCATTAAATCTAAACATACTTCACTAAAAAATATGATTTTTTTGTATGTGAAAGACCTATAATATTAGCATATCTTCTTGAAATTTGGCAGATTATCAGTAAAGATTACAAGGCTTACGTATGCAAAACATAATTTTTTTTTAAAGATTTTTTAAGTAATGTTTTTCTCATGCCTTTTTTATTTTTGAATGTTGACTATCCAACATGCAAAGTAATTTTGATTTTAAGGTTAAAAATACTTTTATGCATCAGAAAATTTACAAATTTCACATTCAAAATCTTTATAACCTTCACATAATTATTAAATGTTTTTTAAGAAAAAGTTTATATTTTATGTGTTATTTTCACTACTAAATCTCTGTATTGGTTCTGTCCATTTGACCGACCTCATACCATAAAAAAATTAAGAAATATATATAAATTATGATTTTTTTCATTTTAGAATGACTACAGATTATAACACGAAAACACGATTGTTTAATCTAAATAGCTTATATCTCATAAAATTATACAATATATATATTTATTATTTTTATCATTTTGACCTTTCAGCCATACCTGGCTAACATTACAGAAGTTGCATTAACATAGCACACATGCACTCATGTTACCATATCCAAGAATATAAGACTGGCTTTTGCAAAGTGACCTGTCTTGGCTATGCTTTAGTGGACTAGTATTTTGTAAAATACAGTTACATTTCAGTTATAATGCAATATATATGTATATACATTATTGCTATTTACAAATACGTTCTTAAACTTATTTTTCTTAAAACATAGAACAGTAAATAGAGAAGTATAGCAAACAATTATCTCTTCTACTTACAAATTTTGTACTCGTTTACTGCTTATCATAGGTTGCTAAGCCTTATCAAATTTCGCAGGTGGAGGATATGAAATGAAATAATTTTTTTTAGGTTTTATATATACATTTTGAAATAACCAAAAATCATAAATTACTGTATCAATACCACAGAATTCCATTATAATTTATCAAACATAGTGATTAACCTGTATTTGGGTCTTAAAAATATGAAATTTCGAGCTCACTAATGCTTGGAATTTAGCATGAAGAGAACGTGTTTGCCGCCCAAATACTTCAAAGACGCTGAGAAAGCCAGTACGGGAACATTCTGAGCTTTTGATTGGTTATACACACATCAATGGGTGAAGTAGGTGTATGTGAGCAAGTATTTTCAAAAATTGAGAGGGGGTGGGGCCACCTGGGTTGATTCAATATATATATATATATTAATATCTCGGAAAATAAAAAAGTTAGGAGTTTCATATTTTATATCCTAGCTTAACAATACTGGTAATTTGAGTATCTAATTTGTAAGATACTGTAGACTTTGTATTTGGACATCAAAACATCTAATCTGCACCAATGCTACATTCAACATACCAAGTGATGTACAAAAACCAATATTTAGGCTTTTTTTTAATATTTACTTTTAAATTAAGAAATCAGCTAACATATAATACTAAAATTTGAATTATAATTTACAATTTGATACCAAATTTATTGACATATATTCATAAAATAGTAGTTCAATAAAATTTTGAATGCAAGTCAACAAATGTGATGACATGGCCTTTGACCTGTTTTGATAGGATTAATTTGAAATACGTTTTTATAACAAATAAACCCAAAATATGAATGAATATTTCTAAATATAATGATCATACAATTAACTGGAATCTTCTGACAACTAATGCAGAGGAAATTGTATTTATAAGAAATTTCCTTCAGCTGGTACTAAAAACATGATAAAAATCTGTCGATATGTGCCTAAGGTATACTCACTTGCTCAGCATTGTATCCATATTTTTCTTTAGCCAATATAATGTATTCATCCACTGAAAAAATAAAGTTTTTTAAATTTATTTATTCCATTTTGTTTTCAAGAGGATATCCCATTTACAATTAAATTTCTAAAGTACATAATAAACACTCTTTCAATGGCCACAACTGTCTTATTAAAATCTTTCAGTTATAACTTTCCACTTGGCACTAGCTTATGACATGAATACCTATAAAAGTTACAAAATGTTTCAACTACTAGAAAGAGCTGGTATTCATAAATATAGAATTCTGATACTCTGCAAATATGGGTTTGCAGGTTATTTGAGAATTTAAATTTGACAAGCTAAATAAATTTTGAAAACCAGGAGCAAGAATATTTCAAAATATAATTAGACTTTTTTTTAATATCTAGTCAAAAATACAACAATTTAAAAATTAAATTAACATGCATATTCAATCACAATAATGGCATAGAACTAATAGGCACTTTGTGAACAGATCGATTGAAAAAAAATAAAACAGAATATAAAATCCTACTAAATATCTCTTTTTGCTTTTTCAAGAAAGAAATAGTTGAAAGATAAAATTACTTACATTTGTTATCTGATATTTCTGGACAAGGAGACCATACCAACAGTGCTCGTTCTGGAGCAAACTCGGGACATGGACCTACACACAGAAAGATTAATATTACCAACACAAATAAATATATATTGTAAATAGTTTCTTGATAACATATTTATGCTAATAAAAATTATAATGGAAATCTGAATGCTTTACCCCTTTCAGTACAGGTAGGTCCAAGTGTGCATGTCAACTTTCAAAGAGTTACATTCAAAATTTAATTAAACTACCTTATATAAACTTATATAAATAAACTTGGCATAAAAATGTAGTTAATGAATCAAATTCCAATACTGCATAAGGGTTAAGTTCTTAATTATATAAGGAAAAATCTAAATAAATCACCAGTCTCCTATTTTATGAAAATCGTGACATTTGTTCTCTAGGTCTTCCCTCTTTTCTAATTTACCACCCCTCTTTGATGTACAGAGTTTAATGTAAATTACTCATTATAATATAGATATTGCTAAGGCAAAGTCTGATTTTTATAGCCTTCAATCTTATCTCTTTATGGAGCCATAAGCTAGAAAACCAGACCCACTTGTTATGCCCATCTGTCACATCCTCTCTTTCACAAATTGCCAATAATTCTCTCTGATGTTTTACAACACTTAAGACCAATAGAAAGGCAAAACCATAATCTATTGAATGACACATAATGCTACTTTGGTTTCAGTAAAGCATAATGTCAGTTTCATCTTCAGTTTGAAAGTTTATCTCACAGTGTTCAGATCAGGCAGCTAAAAGAATTATTTCAAGCCCATCTTGTCGTAGTTAGAAAGCCAGTCAAATTATTTGCTTTGCGAGTGTTATCATTCTGTGTCCTTAGGTGCATTATTTGAATAAATAAATATTATTTATTTTAATAGTACAATCATTATTAAAAAAGGCTTAAATTTCACTGGAAACCAACAGCAAAAGAAGAAGAAAAAAAAAACAAGGTCAAAGTTAAGTACTATATTTCTTGATTTTCATATATATTTTTCATTTATTGTTATAAAAGTAACTAAGCTATAAAAATTAGAAACTTGTTAGGTTAGATAAGGTAAGATATGAAAAAGAATAATAATAAAAATTCTTCACGAGGTATGCTTGCAAGCTGCTCGTACATTACTTCATTCAATATGGTAATGTGAGCTACATATTTGCCAAGCAATTTACAACTTGTGTGGTGGGTTTATTAGTTAGACATATCTAAAATGACAAACAAATTAATGAAATTTGAAAATTTTCAGATGAAGAAAAGCATTTTTAATCTTAACATGGAAATCATTTTGCACTTGGCATAGTCAACACTCTTACTTCAAATATTTACTGACAAATTTTAGTAAAAATACTTAATTAAAAAATTTAGTTTTTTTATGTACAAAAGACTTGCAATGTTTACTGAAAGCTTGGCAAATTTAATGAAGATACACAAGAACATGTCAAAAATTATAGTATGGAAACTCTGATGGTTACTTTGTGATTACAAGATCAGTCACATCAACAGACTTAAACAACCTTGCAACTACCATATAACCATAAAGGTATAGATACTATAACTCTAAAAGTACTTAATAGCTTCATGAACTTTGGCAAGACTTCAGTAAACACTGCAAGTCTTATGGCAGACTGACTCAATCTTAGTAATAAAATAACACAAACTAATGACTACTTGATTTTAATTACAATAAATTATTTATCTGCTTTGCAAGACACCTTATAGATAATACAGTACATAAGACATCCACATACTAAGTAGTAAGGAAGAAAATGACAAACCTAGATTTAATATTCTATAAATTTTTAACAAAACAATGAACAGGCATCACTGAAAAATACGTAAAACTAATCAGTCATTACAAAATATTAAAAAAGCATGGTTTAAGCAAATATACTTATGATGTGCAGAAAAATACAAACATATGCTCTGAAATAAACATTTGATAAGAAGGGGACAAACTGTTCAAAACTTTTCAAGCAAGGTCAACATGATCTGGAAGTTTTGTTGTAAATAAAGAGTAATTTTGCCTCTTTTTTTTTGTAGTAACTTTTGAAGTAACTGACAAAAAGAGACCAAAAAGTCAGTTTCAAGCCCAGTGACTGATGGTAGTACAAACAGAACTGACTTAAGAAAATAAATTGTTTATACCTGGCTAGAAAAATAACTTATTCTCATAAAATATTCAGAAATCACTAAAACTGCAGGCTTTTTTTTTTTTCATATTCCTCTTAATTTGACCATGATTATCACAAATGTTAGGCCTACTGGCTTCTAATGCTTTGCTAAATTTTGGCATTTGATCGATAACTTTACATAATAAAATAGTTTTTTTTATTATACTGTCAGCAGTAGGTAACCTTAAACTTTGTCGATTCAGATATAATGGTTTCTGGCCAAATTGAGCCTCTTTTGACATTTGAAAATATGTGAAAAAGAAACAACCATGACAGATGATTTATACATACAAATAGGATATATACACATTTAATACATGAAATCATTAATTATGATAAAGTTACAGTTAATTTTAGAAAAGAATAATGCTGTTGTTAGTAACAGTAACAAAATATGCTAAGGGCAAAGGATAACTAGCAACTATTTGCTAGTGCTTTCAAAAGTTAAAGTCAAAACCTGTCATCAGATGCACCTTGGTTTGTTCAAATACACTGTAACCCATACATTGGAACTTGCCCTGAAGAACAACTTTAAAGAATCAAACACAAACAAGGTAGTTGACATATAATGGCTGGAGACGGCTTAAATGGGTAATGAAGAAAAACTTTAATATAAGTTTAACATGACAGCAAATGTACAACATAAACCCAGCAGAGCCAAGTGAAAAAGATGGACACAGCATAAGCAAACTGCTCTTTACAAATGTTTATATAACTAGCCATGTATAATTGTGTACACTAAAAACTTCTATGGGAGCAACAAAAAACCTGGTGAAGTCAGGAAAACAGTGAATGGGTCCTTAAAAAACTTAGAAGAGTTAAATATATTTATTTACAAGTTTCTAATTCAGGATATTTTTTGGATAAATTAGCAAAATCTCCTTGTTGTTTAAAAAAAAAATGACATTCAGGCCTTGAAAATTCTTCATGTCTCCTTATATATTTTTATGTCTGCTCGTTTGTTAACTTCCGGTATAAATTCTTTCCGAGAAACTTTAGCGACACAAGTCCGTTCTTAAATAAAACTAGTTTATTCTTTCTCAATACAACTTTGCAATACAAAGATTTTCCACAGTCATTTTAAAGTTAACTACTTTTATAAACACATGCTATAATTCACAACAAATCACGCACTTTACTTACGGTGCCTACTGCTCGCTTGACCCAATTATCTATCTCGATACCTGTCTGTCTGCAATTGTATCTCTGCTTTATTTGCAGGGCTTATATAATAAAATAGAGGGCACCTGGAAAAGACTAGAGTTGCCAGGAAAAGTCATTATCCTTCTAGAAACTCATGACGCGTTATTATTAATTATTAAACCGTCATTATTTTCACTATGTCAGTATGTCTATTTTAGCATCACATTCACTGATTCTGCTATCATGCATAACGAATGGTGCATTAATTAGGGCCATGAATCTATTTAAAAGTCTTTGGTGCTGAAAAATTTTAATCTTGTGTACAAAACTATTGCTGAGTTTATTCAAAATTACAAAGCATCTGTATAGGAGGAATACTTTCCTTTTTCCTTAGCATCTCATCCCAGATTTATTTTTCATAAGAGCTCTAATCACGTTTGGGTATTCTGCCCTTACATTTTGCCTTACTTATTTTTATCTCTTATCCATTGTTTATGTAACCTTATTTGGAATGAGAAATCAAAACAGCAATCAATATTGGTTTTCTGTGCATGACATGTATCATATTTGCATATATGTTGTGAGGTGATGACAATAATTGTTTGGTACGTAAGTCAAAGGGCCAATATTATAAATGAACATTAATTTAATGTGAAATTGCTGAGACCCCTTTAGTAAATAATTCTTAGGATAAGTCAAAAATGTTTGGAAACTGCTGCCAAGAATAAAGTCAATGTCTCAAGTTTTCCTCATTTATTATGACCTTAATAATAATATTGTTTGAAACTCCTTATAGGACGAGTAAAATTTCTGTAGTTTGAGTAACCACTAAACTTTTGAGCCCTGGTTGTAGTATAAAATGGGACAGAAAAATAAACCCTTGTTATCCCATGAAAATGTAATTCAAAATTTGAAAAAAATATTTTGCAAAACTTAAAAAACAAAACAAGGATAGTACTGCCTACCTTAAACCACAAGAAAAGAAATAACCTTTGAAAAGGGAAAAAAATCACAGTGAAGTAATAAAATATTAATAGTACAAATATTTCCTCACAATTTATGCTTAGCACAGTTACAAACAATCTTACACATTCCTGCTGTACTAGTTAACAGTAATACTAGTACTTAAGTGTTTATACTGTAGATGTTTTTAAATATTGTTACGTCTCCGTTTGTTAATTAACTTTCCGTAACTTCGTTCAGACGAAACTTTAGTGACACAAGTCCTTACTTAATAAAACTGGTTTATTCTTTCCGAATATAACTTTACGATACATTTAATTTCAACAATTGCGCTAAAACAAACGCTATGTAGACAGTGAGTAATTGATCTGCAGTCAGAGAGTATTATTGAGCACGTTCGTTGTTACACACATTATTACGTCACGCCGTCACCCTCTTATATATATACCAGACTACCCTATATCTAGTAATCTCCCGACAATTCACAAAGGTACAAGATATTTCCAGAAAGATGGAGGCATGACACTAGTCACGTGACCTCGCTGACGCAACACTGCCCCCTCCTTAATATTGTTCGTCCCGAACAATAACCACATACAATAAACCAATAACAATTAACAATAACTTAAATAATGTACAGAATTACAATCACAAATTACAATTCAACAAAGTCTCTTAATTTTATGGGATGTATCTTCTTCTGTACTGGTCTCTGTCTCGTTGGCTTCTGCTTCATGTGGGATTCATCTACTTCATCAGTTAATATCCTATCATCAGTA